CAGCAGGATCCTACCTATCTCCAGGACAGTTGTATTATTTCAAAAGCAGATAACTTTGTTCTGCAAGGGAATCATTCTGTAGTTTTTGGCTTTGTATTTTTAAGCAAAGGGTAGCTGTAGGGGTTCAGCACGCCGCAGAGGAGGACAGTTTGTGACCCTTTTCAGAGTGGGTTACTTGGCTTGTAAAGTCCAGCCCGTTCCTGCAGACCTGCCCCACAAATGGTTTTGTACAGAAGGTGCATTCCTCTCTGTTCTTGCTCTAGTTAAAATGGTTTGTTTCTTTTTAACGTTTCCAGTGGTGATTAGCCTGCGTTGCTGTCTGGTTTTGGTTTATACGCTTCAGCGTGATTAAAAAGTGGCAGCTTAGGCAGACTTCCAACATCAGAGAGTGGCTGTGTGTCCAGCAGCCCCGGGACAGAGCTGTCTGTCCTGGTTGCTGTTGAGGGTCTCTGGCCTGCGGTGCTGCAGCTGGGCCTTGCACGTTATCGTCTGCGTTTGGAAAAACACCGTGCTCTGCCCTTCCTCTGAAGAACAGCAGAGCATGCGAGATCCTCTTCTCGGTCGCGTGAGGGTTGGCGCTGAGCCCTCCGCACCGAGCGGGTGAAGTGTTGTGCCCCCATGCGCCCACCCTCCTGCCGCTCGACCGTCGGCGTCCGCTCCCAGGCCCCCTCCCACCGCGAGTGGCTGCGGCTGCGTCCCACGGGCAGCGTTACTGCCCCGTGCGCACCCGGGAGCCGGGCCCGAGCCCGTGCCGGTGCAGGTGCTCCTCCAGCAGCCGTGCCTATCTGCCGCTGAGGTGGATGTGCCCCCGCATGCAGGCAGGTGACTGTGGTAGTGGGAGATCACCTCCAGAACGGTAATATCAGCTATTATACGCTCCTAATGCAAACAGCAGCATTTAAACCCAAATAAGAGCTGTCATGTCAGAAGATGACAGGCAAATTACTGGAAGATTTTTTAAGTTCTTGTGTGTAACTTGTGCTGTTTCAGAGGGATTAGTGACCTAAAGGTTAATTGTGGCCCCACAGACCAGCACCTCCCATGTTACAGTTCGCCAGGGTGGGTGGGCTCGACATGATTTTGGTTTAACTTAACTGGCGGATGGTGATGGGTTTTAACCTTTCAGTTATTTCAAGAGTTGTTGCTGAATTGCTTAGGTAGGTAGTGAAATAAAGCGTTGTTGCCAGCCAGTCTGAACGTCCTCTTCCCAGCACTGGGGGGTTACGTTTTTGTAGAGTCGGTGACCGAGCTGGGAGGGGGGGATGCGTCCCATGAAGGGATTCTCTGGGGGCTGTCAACCACAGCAGTCCAGATGTGGGCTGGAGCTCAGGAAGTCCCCAGGGAACCACCCGGAGCAGGAGGAGGATTGCTCGGTGCTGGACGTTCTCATGCTGCTCCTCAGCAGCCGTCGCTGGCAGGCAGGGCTCTGGCTTAGGTCGGTCGTTGAGTCTGAGCACGTGTGACTCTTTACCACCCTTGATTTGGGAACATATCTGAGCATGGAACAAATTCTTCTCTCTCAGACAAATCACCTCTGGCTTGGCTTGCCCTAGAAAGGACAGAAAGCATAGTCCAGCGTGCCCCCAAACCCGGCAGGAACAGATTGGGTTTGGACTTAAGCACTGAACAGCTGAGGACTGGTCCGCTGCGATGGCTCATCCTCTCTACCTCACCCTACAACTTCTGACCAGGCTGCGACAGAGGTCGAGCTGCTCACAGGGCTTGTAGAGATCCCTTAAATAAGGCTGTTAACAAAAACAGGGTCAGAGGGGCTGGTGAGATGGGATACGAAGGTGCAGTTTGCAGGGTCAGTGATTGCGATGGACAGACATCCCCTCGCCGAAGTGCAGCACTGACAGCGAGCCCATGGGAGGAGCAGGGGTGAGGAGGGAGCCCCGCCTGGGTTCGCGTGCTCCGGGGGCTTGCATGGCGTTTGCCAAGGCAGGGGGGCAGCTTGCATAGAGAATAAACGTTCATCTTTTTTCACCCGAGTCTTCCTGCAGGATCCTTTTGAACTTGCTCAGCTCTATGCAAGTGTTACATTTCTAACAGTGACGCCATATTAAAATAAAAATTTTAAAAAAACGCTTGTAAATGACTGATCAATTCAGCTGTGGTTCTGCTGGGCAGCGAGAGCAGGAGTACAAGTGACTCATAGGTGGGAGTGGGTGTTCAGTTTGGGAGGGGAAAAAGAGAACTTCATTAAATCCTGCCTTCTTCAGAGGAAGAAGGGGCTTTGAGAATGTGCTTTTATTTTTAAAGGGTTATTTAAAGATTTATGCAGCTCTGTAGAGAGCTTTAAATGTTACATGCCCCTGGTTCAATCGGTGTTAAACATCTCTTCCGAGGGAAGTGCTGAGGAGAGAATAAGTGTGGCACTGAGCACGTGACGAAGCATCCTCTCCAGAAGCGGCTGCCTTCTTATTTGGAGAGAGGCAGCGTATGCAATAAATGGATGTAAGCATCTTGCTTGTTGCTTTTGTGCTGCGTTTCAGATTTAGAAGGCTGCGCTCTGCTTTTTTCCTCCCCTGCCATTAACCCCTTCCTCCGCTGCAGCCCAGTCCTCCTGCAGAGGCAAATGGCTGCATAGCTTGAGGCTGGTTTTCTTGTTTTGCTCCCTTAGCATTCAGTCTGAGGCTGGAAAATAAAGCCAGGACTGGAGTCTTTAAGTAATGCCTGGCGCTTGAAAAGGTGTGTTTCTAGCCGCAAATCATGTACGCCTGTTTGTGTCTGACAAACACAGCAATTCAAAAGCTCTTCACGGTTTTATTTTGAAACCTTTTTTGTGCCTGAATGAGCTGGATGGAGCCATTAAGAAATGTGAGAGGGGGCAAGGACGAACGTGCACGTTCTCAATGCCTCTCTCAGCCCTCCTTTTATTTATTTTATTTTTAGCCCTGTTCAGCTGGTAATGGTAAGGTAGGATATAGCTGTTCGAACAGACACAGCACTGGGTCACTGGCTTCCGCGTGGGCAGGCAGTTGCCAAGACTTCATCCCATGTTGAATTTTTACTTTCATTAATTTGAACGTCAGCAACTGTCACTGGTGAAGGAGGTAAAATTAGCTCGCAATTCAGCCTCCCTCCTTGGTATCCATAATAGACTCCTGGGACTGTGCTTTTCAAGCAGGGCGGGAGGGGGAGGAGGGAAGAGTCACACAAAAGACAAATGAACTGTTTGGATATTTTTTTTTTTCCCTCCCCAGTCAGAAATGTTAATGGACTTGGCCTGAGTTCAGCTGAGGGAGGGGAAGGATAAGTGCTCAGCTTTGCTCTGAATGGGGTTATTTGAGGCTCTGCGGACACGGGGCTGGGATGTAGGGGGAGAGGAAAAACCCCCAACTCTGGGTGGGGGCATGGCCGGGCCGCGCTGCCCGCGGGCTGCAGCCTGACCCGCGGCCGGCCGCCTTGCTCTGAGTCACGGGGGAGAGCCCCGTCCCCGGAGGAGCCATGGGGACAGCGTGTCCCCTCTTCTGGAGGGGCTCCTAGAGGCTGGGTGTCTCGGCCTCTTCTAGCGAGTCGCCCCCTCTCACGGGTCAGACGCTGGAAGCCGATCAGATCGATAGCGGGTCCCTAAGCGCACAGCCGGGTACGGCTAGCGTTTCTGCTTCGTGCTCCGAGCCTCTCGCCGTGCCAGTCACTTTCAGAAAGTATTTGAGGTGAGGATGGGTGTCCGGGGTGCCTCCATCTGCTGTGGTGAGCTGCGCGAGGAGCTGGCTCTGTATTTCTTGGGAGGTGCAAGGCTGACAGCCCCCCCGGGAGCGCAGTGGGTGCCATCAGCTCTGGCAGCGATAGGCTTGGGCGCACGAAGCCAGCAGCCGTCCCTGGCGCGTCAATCCCCGTCTCCTCCCGCGGCAAGGCAGAAGCGCTCAGGTAAGCGGCAGCAAGCCAGTGATGGGGAGCTGCGTCCCGACTTGGTGGAGCTGTCGGGGAGGGATATAAGGGGCAGATATAAGGACCCCCAGCAGCGGGTCCATGGGGGAATCAATTGCACTCGTAACCCGGAATCGCCCTGCAACAGGCGGATCCGTCCTACCCTCCCTCTCCCGCTGTTCTCGGGCCCCTGTCCCGAGCCCGTGGCAGACCAGCAGTACCTCACCCCTTTTTGCATGGCCGGAGGCCCAGCTCTGGCGTGCCGGAGCGTCCAAACCACAGCGCCGGGAAGGTGCTCCTGAGCTCTGAGCGAGCTGGGAGCGCAGCTGACGAGCTTGAAGAACTGACTGCTTTGGTCTGTAGATCAATCGGCAGGGTAACTTCTCAAGGTAATTCCTGCCTGGGCCCGGCTCTGCAGCTAAGCCTGCTTTTAGGGGGAGAAACCCGCTCCCCAGCGAGCACCCTGGTTCTCCGGTGCTCGCAGCCTGCACCAGGCCATGCTGGCCGTGGAAGTGCTCAATCTGCTCTTTATTTCCAAAGACACGGATTTGCTCTAGCCTGCTGGGTGTTGCCCTGCTGCAGCCCGCGCTTTGCTCCCGGGCTCTGTGCCGGTGAGGCTTTACAAAGCCAGACCCCGCCAGGCAGAGGGGCCGTGGGCTCTGCTGGGCCCGGGCTCCTGCTGCCTTTGCCGCTCCGGGTCTCTGCGAGCGTTCAGCGAGGCTGATCCCTCTCCCCAGCGCGAGCCCTCGGGGCGAGGAAGGTGGGTGCTGAAGGTGACCTTGTCTGAAGAAGGTGACCTCTGTGTCCCCTTGCAGCTTTTGTTTCCCGAATGACTCTTCACCACGGAGGACTTGCCGGGCTCCCTGTACGAGCCGTGCGGGGAGGGAGGCGGGGAGCCTGCAGCGGTACCCGGGAGGGATGCAGCGAGGCGGAGGAGAGCGCGGGGGTCCCAGGTGGACCCCCGCTGTTCTCCTCCAGAGGAGAAGGGGCTCTCCCACTGCCCCATCCCCGCATGTGTCCCCCTCCTCCCCGAGCTCAGCAGTGGTGGGGTGATCATTGGCGCAAGTACAGAGATGACGTGCCGTTCGGCCTTGGCGGAGAAAGGATTGAGCATCCTTTAAAGAAAATTATACATAATCGTCTTACAGCCTTCGCTTCCACTCAAACCTCTGAGTCATAACTGAAGGGCCCTGGAGCGTGACGTTCCTACTGGAAGGAAATTGCCTCGGCTGGATCCGGTGGGGGGGAGCCGGGAACCTGACGAATCCTCATCAGCTCTGCGTCTTGCTGGGGGATGCGCCACGTTACCGATGGGAGCGCGCTGGGCCCTGTGTGCGGCGGTGTCCCCTCCTGCTCCGGGCCAGGGCTGCGCCGGGGGGGGGGACGGACGACACACACCCTTCGTCGCTCCCCAGGGGCAGGGATGCGACCCGAGCCCCATCCGGCCACGGCAGCGGGCAGGTGCCTCTGGAAATGGCTTTTCATCTGCTGTGCTGAGTCACACAGAGCTGGCCCGTAGGGGAGGGGAGAGGGGCCGATCTGAAGCCCTTCTCCCGTCGGTGTCCCCCTCAGGGGACGGTGGGATGCCTGAGCTGCTGCACCGCTGCCTAAACGGGCAATGCCCCAGCCCCTGCGGACTCGGCCGTGCTGCCGCGGGCGGAGCAGACCTTCCCCTGTGCTGCGAAAGCAGCCGAGCAATTGCTCTCCGAACGCATCTGGGTGCTCCGCAGGTCGATGGATGGGGCTGACTTGCTCCCTCCTCCAGAGAAGGTAGCGGGAGGGAGGAGGAGGAGTGACTTCCTCCACTGCTGCCCCTCTGCTCCCTGGCCAGGAGCCGGGCTGCTGCCTGGGCGCTCAGGGTGGGCACGGCGGTGGCCCAGCCCGCCCGGGGAGGAGGGGGCACGCCGTTCCCGAGGCCTGGACCAGCCGTTCTGGAGGCCTGGACCAGCCGGGGTTCTCGCTCACCGCCTCAGGCTTTCTTTTCTCTTGCGTACTGGGGACCACCAGCTGCTGCGTGCTGGAGAAACGGGTAAAACCAGTCCTCGGTGGGAGCGGGGAGGGAGATGTGGTCTCGGGCTCCCTGCCTCACACATCCCCTGGTTGGGCTGCCTCTCCGGTGGTCCTCAGAAGCGTGGACATGGGCTCTGATTTCCCTCGGGAGCCGCGTGCCTTCTGAGTGAGGGGAAGGGTTGCTCTTGAGCGGAGGTGATGCTCCGGGGCCGCTGCCCTCCCTCTGCCTCACCGTCTCCCTTCCCTTGCAGGACAGGTGCCTGAGGAGGAGGCAGGGCAGAACGGGCAGAGCCGCGGCAAAGGGCTGCCCAAGGCCGTGTGCATGAACGGGACGGAGACGGGACAGCTGAGCACCAAATCGAAGGCAGAGCGGCGGGCGAGCGCCTCTTCCAACCCCTCCCGCAAGGCCTGCTCTGCCAGCAGCAAGATCCGCAAGCTCTCCACCTGCAAGCAGCAGTGAGGCAGGAGCCCCCGCGCTCTGCACAGGTACGGGCAGCCCGGTCCCCGCGGCTGGTGGCCACCCTGGGTGACTGCCCAGGGAAGGGGGGGGACATCTGAGCCTGCCCCAACCGTGGGCAGCAGGAGGGAGCTAGAAAGGGGGTTCTGTAGTCCCAGGTGTGGAGAGGGGAGAGGTCTGGGTCCTGAGCGTCCCTCTGCAAATGTCCCTGGCATCCGGAGCCTGGATCCCCTGCAGTGCTGGGGGGTGCAGAGCCCAGCGGGGACCCCCCTGTGCTCCCTGCGCCCTGCTCTGCTGCTCGCCTGGTTCTGCCTTACCCCCTCCTTGCAAGCTGCTGCCACGTCGGGCGAGAGCTGCTGTCGTAATCCTCTCTCCCCCCCAGGTTGCAGCCAGGCTGTGTCGTGATAACCCCTTTCCCTGGCACTGGAGTCCCCCCGCTTTCTCCCCTGCTCTGCTCCCAGCCGGGGGGAGCACAAAGCCCCCGGCGTGCGGAGGAGCGGGGCTGCAGCGGGATGCTGAGCACTGGGATGTCTCCGGAGGTGTCCCTGAGAGAGGCCCCCATGGGGCCTCCCCCCCGCCCCAGGAGGTGGCCGTGTCACCCGTGGCCAGGCCGCTGCCATGCCCAAGCCCTTTCCTCGGGGACGCCGAGTGCCCTCCCTGCTCCCCCTCCTCCTTTCGGCTCTTTCCTCCTCTGCTCGCAGCCCTGTCCCCTTCTTCCCACCCCTCATTCATAAGTGAGCCAGCAATGACTCATGTTCCACGCTCATCCACCCCCGGCCTCGCGCTCGCGCTCGTCACCGGCGCTCTGTGGGGCTGAGGCTCTGTTATCTGTTTGGATCACGACCAGCTTTGTGGTGTGAAAAAAGCCAGAAATAAAAGCTCGTTCCTCCCCCTGCAGCTGTCAGACCCGCGCTCAGCCCCTGTGGCAGCTTTCATCTTTAATTCATGGCTGGGAGTGAGTCACCTGCATGGGGAGTTACTCTATCGGCAAGCAAATGCCTTGGATCTGGGTCTCCCCGGGGATCTGCTGCTCCTCTCGCCCCTTCCCGCTCGGGTGCCCGGCGTGGGGGCCCCGCGGCAGCTGCCCAGCGGTTTCAGGAGGAGAGGGTCGGTGGCGGCTGCCTGAGCTGGTGCGGTCACTGCCTCCGCTCTCCCCCCAGCCCCCGCGAGCATCGCAGCGACGGCCGCGTTGGGAATTGCCCGCTCTTGCACTGCCCCTGCTTTGGTCGGCGCCTTAAAACCTTTGAAAGCCAAAAAGCGCTGCTCTCTCCTTGGCGTACGCAAAGTTCCTTGACTGCGTTTTCCCCTTGGGTGTTTGCTTCCCGGGGTCGGGGGCAGGTCCGGGGTTACCTGGCCGAGGGCCGGGCGCTGTGCCAGCACCCCCACCCCTCCCGGGGACCCCAGGCCCCCTCTCCCTCCCGTCCGCGCGGCGCTGGCGGGAGAGGGAGGCCCGGGGCAGGGTGCGACCCGCCCGTGGTCGCAGCAGCGGCCAGGAGCAGAGCCGGGGCTTGCGCCCCGGTTTGGCACCAGCCCTGCCCTGCCTGACGCCCCCTCCTCTCCTCTCCCACAAGCAGCGTCCCAGGGCCCGGGCCAGCCCGCGTCCCCCATCCTCGCCCCACCTCTGCCTCTCTCCTGGGAGCGGACTCTGCTTGCGACCCAAAAAGAAACCAGAGGAAACCAACCAAGGAAACAGCCCCCCTCCCCGCGGCCCCGCTCCGGACAGCGCCAGGAACCAGAAGCCGATGGTGGCCAGACCCCACTTCCCACCCTGGAGGACGAGATCTCCGGCTGCGACGATGCTGCCCCTCCTCCCCAATCACTCTTTGCCAATCAAGACACTGATTCTGTTTTTAATTTCGCGATGGGCAGGGTGGGATGAGCGGGGCCGGGGTGCGGTGGGACCCGCGCCCCGCTCCCCGCCGGGCCCAGCCGTGCCCACCCTGGCTGTGTAGAAGTCGTGCAAAGCCATTGCCGTGCACTTTATGTTTTAGACTACTGTTATATATTATATATTTTCCTCTTTTTTTTTTGTTTATATTTGCGGTATATTTAGAGATTCCTACACATCGTGATGTGTTTAAAATAAACCAGATGAGGAGAAAAAACAGGTATTAAGACAAAGCAAAACTCTATTAAACCTGCATGCTGTAAAAGGGCTCAGAAAAGGGAATGGGTGCGTTCGTCGTCTTTTTTCTTTTCTTTTTTTTTTTTTTTTTAAAGAAAAACAAA